CCTCTTTGAAGCATTATTGCAGAGAGAAAAAAAAAACAAGGTCTTTGTTAATGAACAGGCTTTTTTTTCTGAATCCCTAAAATGAGCTGGACAATGAGAGGACATTCAAAATCATGACATGGTTCCCTACCGCAAGCTCTACACGCTCAGATTAATTACCAAACCCAAGATTACAGAAGAGTAGCAGATGCAGATAAGGCTACTTCCACTCAGAGGAATCCCAGAGACCACATAGAGGAAGTCAGGCTTGAGTAATCTGAATGTAGGACCTACTAGCATCAGCAACACCCAGACACAGATAAAAAGAAGCATGGGTACTAAAGAGCACACCATTTGGGGAAGCCACAGGTAGTATAGGATGGCTCTAATACAGGTTAAATGTATGTCTTTGGGAATCAGGAGGGCTGGCTAAGTGGTGGGAGAGGAGGGCGTAGAGGAAAACTGGCTGAGCAGGAAGCCTCTGCCTTCTGTCTCATTTTAGGGAGGTTGAGGTACATCCTTGACTGACAATGTGGGGAGGCGTCTGAGTTACTCACCTTTCTGTTTCAGTGATGACTGGAGACAAAGGGTCTTATCTGGCTCATGGTTTTGCAGCTTTTAGTTCATGGTTGCTTGGCCAAGTGGGATGCTGGAGCAATACAGCAGTGTGAAGCACTGGAGAGATACTCACCTCACAGCAACCAGGAAGCAAAGAGAAGCAGAATAAGAGGAGACAGGGTCCCAAGAGTCCCTTCAAAGACCACCCTTAATGAACTAACTTCCTCTAGAACCCACTTTTTGAAGGTTCCATTTCCTCCTCAACAGGTCATTAACACATAAACTCAGTGAGACATTTAAGATCTAAACCATAACCATTCTCTAAAGCTCTCTTAAGAATGAAAGTAATGTTCACTTAATAATTTAACAAAAACTACCAGGTTCTAGTGCATGGAATCTGTGGTCTTAGGTCCGAAAGTCATAGTAAGAGAGAAACCAGTTGGTTGATGTCAGACATGATCTGGTGTACTCTTTGGAAGAGAGCTGTATGATGAGAGAGAGAGAGAGAGAGAGAGAGAGAGAGAGAGAGAGAGAGAATAATCCTTACATTGACTCAACTGTGCAACCATCTAGTTGCACAGGCAGCTCATGCATCAGGAGCAGCCTGTTTGACCCTGGAAAATAAGGTAGGAAGGCCCTCTGAGACAAAGCATCTTGACAGATGCCAAATGTGATGTCTGAAAACCTATAGATACTCACACAATACTACCTGTCTTGTATCTGGCAGGAAGGAGGCACGACTTGTAATCTAACTCATGGAGTCTCTCACTGAGAATCAGCCAAAAATGTCTTCTTAACAAAGAAGATAAATAGGTCTTTCACCAGGACCACCTGTAACTGTCACTCAAATTTCCTAATCCTAGAATAACCTGTTAATATTGGTCTATTTAACAAGCAGACCCATTCTACAACTGCATCATTAGCCCAGTTCTCCTTCAGTCATCACATCATCTACATCCCACGCTGAAACCTGGAAGGATATGAATGCTGTCTTTTTCCTTCTGGCTTAGAAGATGTTTTCTCCTTGCCAACCCATGATAATATAAGCTATGACTTAAGGAGGGCAATCTAACATCCCAGAGGATTCCCTCCAACTCAACAGGTGATTGCTTGTGATGAGGTTCTGGGAGTTGCTTCTTTGGAAACTGCTGTGGGATAATGCTCTTATGTACTGTAAAGATTTGTCACTCATATTGGTTTAATAAAATTCTGATTGGCCAGTATCCAGGCAGGAAGTAAAAGTGGGGCAACCAGAGTAAGAGAATTCTGGGAAGAGAAAAGGCAGAGAGTCAGTCACCAGCCAGACGTAGAAGAAACAAAACAGAATGCCTCACTGAGAAAAGGTACCAAGCCACATGACTAAACATAGACAAGAATTATGGGTTAATTTAAGTTGTAAGAGCAAGTTAATAATAAGCCTGAGCTAATAAGCCAAAACAGTTTATAATTAATATAAGTCTCTATGTGATTCTTTGGGATTAAACGGCTGCTGGAGTAGATGAGACAGAAACTTCCATCTACAGGATACCCTGTTAGATAGAGAGCTAAGACTCCCTTAAGAGAAAAATTATACAACCACCAAAGCCCAGTCTGAAAGGAATTTCCAAGGACCAAGACACCCACCCCCTTACTTGGCAGTTCAGCCTCTCTTTAGAGGTCAGAGAAGACAATGTGGAGTTAGGAATAAATGTCTAGCATCCACACTGGGCATGCTCCATTGTACCTCATAAGATCTTACCACCCATGGCCATTGATAAATTGTCTACTTTTTGAACAAGATTTCCTGTCATTGGTGGCCCTGGGTATTGATGGCATGTGTTGGTCAACAGTATGGAGAATCTAAAAGAATGGATGCCCTTTTTTATGCATACACCATGCCTTCTGATGCTACTTCCCTTCCTGCCAACCCATGTGGAACTTACCAGAACACTCAAAATGCTATTTCCCAAAGTCTTATAGACTACAATGAAATAATTAGGAACAAAACTAGAAGTTAATTTCTGGTTTTACTGACTTTACTCACAATAGACTTCCTACCCTTTTAAAGTCTCTAGTGCTCTAATATTCCAGCAGAGAAATCTCAACGAAGAAATGTTGGGTTTCAACATTCAAGCTTTAAATTATGCTGATGCCACTATATCACATAATATCCCATGCCACCATTTATCAGTGGCCAAGACAGTCTCCTTCAGCTCAAACATTCGTAGCAACAATGCTCATGCTAAACATGAACACAAACTAACTCAGTTCCAATAAATGATTCAGGGCTCTACATATGTATTATCCCTTGCAGGGCTGCACAGAAAGATTTTCTCTTGAAAGACCCATTAAAGAAAGGGTCTTTCTCTCTAATGCACAACAGTGATGAGGGTGTTTAAATGTCATATTGGTTTTGACAGTATCTCAGAGGAGATCATTAATATCGTTAATGCCGTAAAGACCAATGCCTTTCAAAATGGTTTCTCTTAACGGGTCAAATGGTGCCAAGGAGGAAAAAAAAAAGCACAGCTATGACTTTCATGGTAAAAATTTAAATTCTGACATGAACGCACAGGGTAGAAAAGCCAAAAGAAAAGCAGTATGCCTGCTTCAGTGACGGTAGTTCCTCTGCCTCCAAGTGTTCAGGGACTCCCTCTTGCCCCAGAGTCCTTAACAAGGTCATTAGGCCTTTCTTTCCCAGGGTTGAATATTACCAGCCCTCACCTACTCTCTGATTGCTTTGGTCTGACTGTTTAGTGATCTTAAACACTGCCTAGCCATGTCGCCTTCAGCAGTAAACTGAGATATCACTTCTTCCCAAAGCATCCCCAGTCTTCCCCACAAGGCTCCCTAGCCCAGTATCCCATGCTGCGTCTCAAAAGCCTATGAACTCTCCAGTTATCCCAAGAAGACTGTGTATGTCTTCTCAATAGTGGTCTTGGCCACTTATCTACTGTTTTGTCCCAGAGCCTTGTATAGGACCTGGCATGTAGAGGGGCCAGGGACATGCTCTGGGTGGATGAATAGCTAAAAGCATGATGATTGACGGGTGACTGAACGAGGGCCTCTGGATACTCATCCTTGCTACCGGCTTCCCTCTGCCCTGTCTCTAGACGTCTCCACAATGCGAGGGACCAGAAACTAGGAGAAAAGAGAGGCAGGACAGCCTGTGACCTTCAGGTTGATCTCTTTTTCAAATTCGTTGTCAATTCTGCGGAGGGTTTGAAGCATGAGGGAAGGGGATGTCAACTCTAAACACAGGGTTCACCTACCACAAATTCACCCGCTTAAAGGCCTTTCTTCTATTCAGAGTTGAGGAGTGGTCACCACAAAGTGTCTTTTGTTTTGTGGCACTTCCACAAAAAGAAACGCCATGCCCTGTAGTTATCGTCCCCAGCGGTCTCCCCACATCTGCTCTCCCTAAATAACAACTGATATGCTTTGTGCCTCTCTCTGATCCCTTATTCTGGATCTGTTTTTATAAAGGAAATCATCTAACATGATCATTTGCATCTCACTTTCACTGAACATAATACTTCACCCATACTGTAGCCTGCGTTAGTACTTCATTCTTATTTATGACTGGATAATGTTCCATGTATATATCCATGCAAATAGTCCATATTTTGCTTAGCCGTGTATCAGTCAGGAACAATGGTGCTTTTAATATTCATAAAGAAATTTTGTATGGCCATAATGCTTTCATTTATCCCATGTAGAAGCCCAGGTGTGTAAGTGCTCCCTCCGTACAGTAACTCTGTTTAACCCTCTGCAGAACTGCAAAGCTATGCTTCCTCCAGTAGTGCATGCTTGCTGACACTACTGTCCTGACCATTTAATTATTGCCTCCTAGTCACTACAAAATGGTAGTAAGGTTTTGATTAGCACGTCCTCATAGCTGATGGCTCTAATACTCTAATGGAGTCAATGTAGTTATTGGCTATGTATATTTCAATATTTTTTTAAACTTATAAAAATGTTTGTAATGTAAATTAATTTATTTCTAGTACATACAAAGCATTTATATCACTCTCAGGTTATGGTAATAAACATGAAACGCAAAATATACCAGAAAAACACCCTTGTGACTATAAGGAACTAAAGAAATAGTGGGCCAGGAACCAGAGACGTGGCTCAGTGGATAAGCGCTTTCCATGCAAGTGTGAGGACCGGAGTGTGCATTGTAAGAGCCTACATAAAAACTGTGTGAGTGTGGCAGCCGCCTGTAGGCCAACACTGGGGAGATAGAGACAGGAGGACACCCCTACCCCTACCCCACCCCTCACTTCCCACCAGAGCAAGCTGGTGAGCCAGACTAGCTGGAACCAGCAAGCTCCAGAGAGACCTTTGCCTCAGAAAATAAACTGGAGAATAATTCCCAACACACACACACACACACACACACACACACACACACACACAATGGACTGTCTTTTGGGGATAAACATGAACTTTGATCCCAGAATCGTGTGACAAAACTTTTTATTCCTCTCTCTGAGCAAGTCACTCAGCCTCCACCGAGTCCTGGCTTCCACATCTATAAAATGGAGCATTATGAATCCCTGAAACTTAGAGGTAATTCGGGGAGCAAAGTGTTCATACAAAGCACAGGGCATGGCCACCAACACACAGTAAGCGCTCCGTAAGTTTTGGCCTATGAAACCAGGCATTGAAACGAATCCCTTTTAAATTGCAGGACGGCTAGGAGGTTTTTATTATGCAAATACAAAGTATGACTTTCAAAGAAGAAATCATTTGCTTCCCAAACTGAATAAACCACGAAACCCTTGTCACAGGTCGCCTGACAGGACAAGCAATCCAGCCAACTGCTTTAGAGCATGCTCACCTACCTACTTCCCTTCCCTCCCCTACATGCTGGAGGGTTGAAGTTCTGTTCCCCAGACTCCACCACTCGACCTCAAATCCAAATGGGGAACTTGAGTGCTTGTGTTCCCCCACTTCTTCAGAAAGAGTTTTCCATGAAGCCATCCTGTCGGGAATAGGTAAAGAAAGCCTGTGTTCTTCCCACCACACTCTGCCTACTCATCCCATCAAGGACCGCTCTGGCCCTCCAAACCCACCCTTACATTGTTACAGGGGAGAAGAAAGAGCCCTCATCACTGATGTTCTCGCAAGTTACCAAATATCCAAGTGGTATGTGTTGTGTTAGAGCCTCCCTGCATTGGGAGGGAACCTTCATAACAATCCTGAGAGGTTACTTTATAGTTCAGAACCCCTGGGGACTTACGAAGAAAGGGAACCATCTTTCCATTGCTGTTACAAAGAGGGGACAGGGCACAGATCCAAAATTCATCAGTCTTCTGCAATTACAGCCAGCCAGTTCCTTCTCGGAGCTGGGGGTGTGCCAGCTGCTGCGTGGCCAACACTCCGGAGCAAAATGGTGAAGGTGGAGGTGGAGGAAAAGCTTTGGGGAGAAACCTTACAGGCCATGTACCCCGCCCCCACATCGCTGCCCTGTAGAGTAACAGCAGAAAGAAGGATCCTTCCATGTCCAAGGGCAGAGCCGCTCACTCAGCCCAGCCAAACGCCAGCACGATTGTTTCAGAGAAGTCTCCTGGAAAACAACAATTCCAAACATGAGACTGGGAAGTCCTCCTGAAACAGTTTTCCAGCCCGCACCAAACAAAAACTGGCCTAGGGACATTCCAGGTGATGGAGGCATCACCAGGACCATACTGAGGTGACATGGGAGCTTCTCTTTGCCTCTCCTACCTCCATGTGGCAAATGAGAGAAGGAGAATGAGAAACAGAAGGGGGCTCAAGGCTCCATTAGGTGCAGCTGATTCCCTAGATGTAATAACGATCAGAGGCTGGCCGGAAGAAAGCTGTCTGTCCGTTAGGATTAGTGCGGTTCCAACGTCTACAGTTCCTGAGCTAGCTGAGAACATATTTTTAGTTCTAATAGCAAAACATGTCAGAATTTGTTTTGGCAAAGCTCACAGAATGGTCCAGGTCTGATCAGTTACTATGAGGACCCAGCGGCTTTGTCCGGTGGGCAGGCATGCCCTTCAGTCCCTAGCCATAATGGAAAGGGAGGTGCCCACTTTCTTCTCCTTTCAAACTTCAAAATGCTCCTCTCTACATCCTGAAATCTGATGGTCTTCTTTGGAACCCCAACCCAAAAGACCTGGAAAATGTCCAAATTTTATTTGTCTGCCGTAAACTTGTTAAATAAGACTTCTGGTGTTACAGAGAGTAAAAATTTTTTAATTTCATATATGTGTGCCATATTACATCATTTCCCCCTCCTCCCTCCAACCCATCCTGTGTCTTCCTCCCCCACAGCGTGTATGTGTGTCCAAGTGTATTGTATGCATGTGTACATGTGTGCACACAAGTGTGTATATGTGTAAATTTAGGTAAACATAAAAAGAGTGTGATTCACTCTGACTTTTCAGATACAATCAGTGTTATTTAGCCTCCTCCCTTCCTCCTTCTATCTCTGTATTGCCCTTTCTCCCACTGCCCAGTTAAAGCCTCTTCCTCCATTTTCCCCATCCTTCCTTTTAAAATATCAATAAAAATTAGTAAGCAATTTAAAAGAGGAGGCCAGTTTGGATTGGCTGTCCCACTTCCGGCCTGATGGTGAAGTGGTCAGCGGTTAAGAACAGCAGCTCTGAGGCAGGACGAGCTGGACTCAGCTCTCCACTTCCTCCTCCTCCTCTGTGTGATGGTGAACCACCTACTTTGCTCTTTCCTACCTTTAATATGAGGAAAATGCAGCTATTCATGTGCCCAACGGGAGAACTAAATGAGATAATGTGTGTTAATGCAGCTAGTGTGTCAGTGATTCATATTAGGTAATGATTGGTATTGTATGTCATGGGTGGGCAGCAGGCTTGCAGAAACGCATGCACTTTCATTCGGGAAAGCTGGTCTGCCACTTGGGGTAGTCAGTTCCCATCTCTGGGCCTCCAGCTTCCTAGTCCACAGATTAGAGGTGATCAGCCATCTGAGAACTGCTTGAGGCTTCAGGGAGCTACTGCATGAGACACATGTTTGCAAACTGTTACATGATATCCGATGTAATCTAATATGATTATCCTCCAGCTGACCCAAGCCTCTGGAGATGCTGGACAGAGCTGTTGACAGGACTTGACAGTCTGGGTAATGGATGAAAACCTAAAACCATGCTTAGGGCCTTCCAATGCAAAGCAAAAACAAGTCAGAAGCATAGAAAGTGAACTCAGAAGGCTGTGAGACCAGTGTCTGAGCAATCGCTATGAAGGAATTACCTGGCTGATTCTGCTTATTGGCTTGGCACCCTTCAAACAAACTGGTTGTTTTTTTTTTTTTCAGTTGACATTCAGTAACACTAGCTCCCTCTGTCCTAAACTCTATAATGGTTTTGTCCCTATTCAAGTAAGCATAAGTATTCTGCCTTAAATACGGTTTGTCTCTGCAAAATCCCCATGCTGAGATAAAATGCCAATGCCACAGTACTGAGTGATATGGAGGCCTTTAAGAGACGGCTGGTGTCACAGGGCCTCTGCCCTCTTGAACGGATGAATGTAGCTCCCACAGAGTGAGCTATATGCTGGAGGTGTGAGTTACATAGCGTGTTTCCCAGGCTCTCCCTAACTTCCTCTCGCTGTGTGATCTCTCTGGCTAATTGCCCTTCCTCTCACCTAAGGCCTTCACCAGAAGCCAAGTGAAGCCAGAGGACTCCCAGACAATGAACATCTTTCCTTCACAAATGATCCCACCTCAGCTTGGCTGCTAAAACGGCGGCTCTCAACGTGTGAGCCGAGACCCCTTTGGGTCGAACAACCTTTTCAGAAAGGTCATCTAAAACCATCAGAAAACACAGATACTTGCATTACAATCTATAATAGGATCACAATTATAGTTATGATGTGGCAACAAAAATAATTTTATGGTTTCGAGGTTCACAGCACTAGGAAGGCTGAGAACCGCTGTGCTAAAGCAACAGAAAACCGACTGAGACCTGAAAAGAGGCCCAACGGGGCTGAAGAGTTATATCCTAAGGTATTCATTCACCTTGGGCTCGCCAAGCCTGGCCTGAGGCTTCAGCTCATAAAGGCAGCCCAGAGATCTGACCACTTGGCTCATATCATGGAATTCATCCACCTGATGGGGCCTCTCCTCTGAAGACCTCTGCAGTCTGAGCATTCTTCAAGGAAAAGAGAACCGAGAATCCACCCATAATTCTTCCTTCTTGGACTCTCATGACCTAGGGCATGTAAAAGTGCTTTCATTGACAGCCTCTTACTTCATGAAAGAGTCAGAAATTTATGAAACAGGAAGGGGGAATGGGTGTTGAAGAAACACGAAATGAAGGAGGAGGAGACCGTGCTCTCCCTGACCCTACCCTGCTCTCAGGTGCTGGAAAAGGAAGGGTGTGTTCAAGGTTGCGCCAGAGCGGCTCTGGAGAGGAAGCTGTTTGGGGAAGCAGTGGACTGCAATGCTCAGTAGAGCGGCCAGGGCCTAACAAGGTGGCCAGTGTCAGCGAGACTCACCTCGGCTAACCTTAGGTGAACGGCTCTTCATGTGCACCTTTAGTGTGAGGAAGGGTCTAGGGCCACATGCTGCAGCCCAAGAAAAAAGGGTCCCAGGCACAGTGGAGGAAGAGACGGAGTTGATGCTCATGCTCCTCCATGCTCTGGCCTTCACCGCGTTTCCTCTTAGCTGTGGTTAAAGAGAAAACACCACATTAAACTAGGCCTCCTCACAGAGTCCTACCTTGTGATTCAGCCAGTCTGCCTGCAGCTGAGAAGACGCAGGCCTGAGCTTTTGCTCCAACTCAGTTGCTCTCCCTCCTAAAACTGCTCCCTGCCCCTTTGCCCCCTGTCTGTGTCCTCCTTTCTGGTTTTGTCCTCGGTCATCTCTTTCTCCATCCATGCCTCCCATAGCCCCTTATTCAGATGCCCAACTTCCCTGCCTCCTTCCATGGACCTTGCTATCTCTGGCCCAGTTCTCCTCTCTGCTTCTCTCATTCTGGCTCCCTTCCCTCTCCCTTCCTCCTTTCTTCTCCTCCTCCCGGGTCCCTGCCTGACCCCAAACTTCCCTTCCTCCTCACTTCCTCCTCACTCTCTTCCTCCTCCCGACTTCCTTCTTCCTCCCTGTGCCCCACCTCCCTGCCCCTTTGGGCTGGTTAGGTTTCTGTCGACTTGACAGGAGCCAGGGTCATCTGGGATGAGGAAGCTTCAAGTGAAAAACCGCCTCCATCATACTGGGCTGCAGGCGAGTCCGTGGGTCATTCACCTGATTAATGATTGATGTGAGAGGGCCCGTTCACTGTGGGTGGTGCCGCCCCTGGATGAGTGATCCTGGGTTGCATAAGAGAGAGAACTTAGCGAGCAATGGGGAGCAAGCCAGTAAGCAGCAATCCTCCGTGGTTGCTGCCTCTGCTCCCGGGTTCCTACTGACTTCCCTCAGTGACACTGTGTTCAGGATATGTGAACCCAACAAATCCTTTCCCGCCAAATTGCTTGTGGTTGTGACATCCTCATCACAATGACAGAAAGCAAACTAAGACACGCTCTCTCTTCCTCCCCTTTCTCTCTGCTCCCCTTCTGAAGACACTCTGCCTCTTCCCTGCCCCTCCCTCTCCACTCTCCTTCATTCTCTTCCCTTCTGTTTGCCTCGTCTGTCTTTCCTGACCCAGCCCGTCTCCATGCGTACTTTCAGATTTCCTTGCTTTCGGTTTCTATCAGGTCCAAAGGTAAAGAACAGTTTTATGTGCAGTTTGCAGAAAGCTCTGCTATTGGCAGGGAAGAACAAGGGAAGAGGAACTGTGGTTTGTGTAAAAATAAATAAGTAATAACAGTTATAATAAAACTGCCATTTTATCATAAAATTTCCAAGCATGTGGACTCCTGTTTATCCTTCCTTTGTAGCCTCCCCAGAAGCTAGCACTGTGCCTAACAGGTAAAAAGAAATTCATAAATGTCTGTTGACTAAAAGCCTCACCAATAACTGAATAAATGTGGAAACAAAACGTCCGCTTATTTCACTTGAGCGCATGTACCCGCAGTGTCCGCTGAATGAGAGAGCAGAGACATCCACCCCTGGAACCCTCTGGTGGAGACACATCTCTTTAGCAGACACATTAAAAGGAAATGGGGCTGCTACAGCCCATCCTCTCTTCAGTGGCCAGCATTTTCCTTGTTGACTTCATGAACTTTCCTGGCCAATCCTCTTTTATAAGCACGGGTAGAATCCCAGTCTCCAGTTCTGGACACATAGCCACTGGCTCTGCTTGTGTCTCAGCAGCGCTGGGGCACTCTCCCTTCCTTCCCCCTCCACCCCTCACTGGTTCATTCCTGAACCCTTCCAGCTCATCTATTCTGCAAATGTCAGTGTTCTGCCTTCCCTGTGACGGGCGGCACCCTGCAGACTTTCTGTGAGCTATCTCATTTAATCCACGGACAACTCTCAAGTAAGCATCCTTTATTATCTTTTCTTTTTATATGAGGAACCCAGGTGGAACCTAGCCAGATGTGTCCCCCCAACTTTCCTGGTTTGCTCACTATTGAAGTAGTTCCCAGGACATCGACCTTGAAGGTTTAAAGTCAGAACAATCCCAGGCAAGCTGTCCCAGTTTTCCCGGGACTTGGAAATTCCCCGGGGCATGAGACTTTCGGTGCCAACACTGGGAAAACCCCGTGCAAACTGGATGGGTTGGTTACCCTGATCCAACCGCAAGCCTGGGGCCATACGACCGGTCCACATAAGAGCCAAAACCATTTCATCTGATTCCAGGGCCCCACTTTTACTCCCCCTTGCCCAGCTAACCTCTAACCCACTATTTTGAGCTGCTTCTAAACCACGCTACAGTCACACCCAAACACTGATGTACTAGTCAGTTTGCCGTGGCTGTGATAAATACACAAGGCGCTCATCAAACGCTTATTTTGGCTCACAACTTTGGAGCTTTCAGCCATAATTCAATAGATCCATTGCTGTGGACCTCTGGCGGGAGTGGGGGCAGCTCATCATGGTGGGAGCCCGCAACATTGCACAACTTTCCCTCGGCCAGACTACCAAAGATCAGAAGGGAGGGTAAGGCCTCCAGCAGGGCATAGTCTCATGGCTTCAAGGGCCCTCCTTCTAAATGTTCCTCACATCTTGATAGCATCAGCTACAGACCAAACCTTAAACATCTGGGTTTGGGGGAGAAAACTCATTATAATAGTTTTCCCTTGTTCCTCCTGTGGTTCTCTTTGAAAACAGGGGGAAAAAAAATCCCAGTTCTTTCATGTACAGCCTTCCAGCCCCCAGCCCTCCTGTCAAACTGGACCAGTACTCTCTCTGTGTTTGTAGAACCAGCTGTGGTTCTACAAACGCCTACACCACCTCTGTTCTTGCTTCATGCCTTCCTTCCATCACTGGAGAAGGTCAGTCTAGCGTCTACTTGGGGTTAAAGGTTGCCTGGAGAAGACAAAGAGGAGGCAGACACAGGACCCCAAATAAGCATCGAAATCTTATTTCAGGGGCCATTTCCTCTCAACCCCTGCCAGGCGCTTTCCTTAGATCCAGCATGTCTATTGTCTAGTAGCATGACTTGAGGCGCTGACGTCATTCGATGTCATGTTTTCACCCGGCCTATGCCAGGTCTCAATTCACTAGAGAGATTGTCAGAGTGTGGGGACAGCCATGTAGGCGAGCCTTCTGCTTCCCACAATGCATCTGACCTGGGGACAGTCACATAAGGGCTAATTGAGAACTCCTCATCAAGCCAAATTAAATTGGTTAAAACAGAGTCTCTGACACAAATAATCGTATGTAACATCTGAGTACAGAATAGTTCTTCTGCCAGAGAAAGCCTTAACTTCGAATTCCCCTGACATCTGGGAGGGCCTGAGCCAATCAAGTTGACCCATTTACATTTCTTATTCCACCTCTTCAGAGGAGTCTGCCTCCTTCCCTTCCTCTTCCTCCACCCCCAGACATCTTACAACCTAATCACCACCTTCCGAACCCTCCCTGTCAACTTCCACCCCCTCAGCCAAACGCACACACCACCTCAAACACTGAACCACAGTCAAATTTTTAAAGTTCAAGAGCTGAAAAAGAGGAGCAATTGAGTCATTTTTCCTTGATTCAAAGTGCTGGGGCTTTTCTAGAGCACCCTGGCATCCTTTGTATGAGCCTGTTCCTGGAGCAACGCAAGCTGAGGGGTCTCACCACGCTGCCCAAGTTAGCAGTAGGGAATGGCGCGCTTTTCCTGCAAGTAACTGGGGTCACCGGGTCTTGGGTCACCTGTCCCCACACATATCCTATGACACAGATTCCTTCCGTTGTAGAGTCTGCTTCAGAAGCAACCTCGTCCCAGTCAGTTTCTGTCGCCAGCACAGCTCTGCCTTGGCCGGTATGAAAAGTGGAGCGATACATTCTTCTCCTTTCTTCTTCTTTGTTTTTATTTTCTTTTTCTCCATAAGTTCCATGTTGAGAAAACCTCGTGAAAATCTCTAATTCACCCAAGATGGAAGACATCCCCAGCAGAAGGGCAAACAGGCCTGTGGAGCTTTGGGCCACCCTGTAGAGTCAAGCTGTCCAATAAACCGGAGGTGTGGAGTCCGGCAGCTCATCATCCCAGAAGCCCCAGCAAAGAGAAGGATCCCGTGCAGCTCTCTGAAAAGCCAGCCCAGCTCCAGTGATTCAGGGGTGTCTCTGAATGGCTGGAGGACCTCAGAATCCCACTGGATCTTCCTTACCAAAAAGGGGAATTCTGTGTAAACCATAACTGCCTTCCAAGAAGAGTGACTCTTAGGAAACTCAGTGAACCAGGCAGTGGTGGAGCACACACCTTTAATCCCAGCACTCAGGAAGCAGAAGCAGGTGGATCTCTGTGAGTTTGAGGCCAGCCTGGTCTATAAAACGAGTTCCAGGACAAGCTCCAAAGCTACTGAGAAACCCTGTCTCAGAAAAACAAACAAACAAATAAATAAGAAGAAAAGAAATAATGATTGATGATGATAATAATAATAATAATAATAACTCAGTGAGATCCTTGATGAGTTTGAGTGTGATAATGCCCTGTAGCTAATTGTGGGTGGAGAGGCACTAAAGGGCTGCATGGCTTTAGATAACCAATAATAATAATAATAATAAAAGATGGAAGGAAGAGAGGAGAAGACAAAGAAAAGCAATAGCTAAGGAGGGAAGTTGAGGCTTCACAAGGGGTTCAGTAGCCAGGTAAGGGGGGGAGGGAGCAAAATGCCAATATGAAGGTGTGGACTGTCAAAATAAAAGCCCTTTCATTTCCCTTCCAAATCTACTCTGAATTTTTTCCACAAAACTCTATGAATGAGCAGGCTTTATGGGTTTGCTCTGGCAGAACTCATAGAAGAGGCTGGGTTGCAGGTATGAGTCAAACAGTGATGGAGGAAGGTCATTGGTTAAGTAATAAAGAAAATGCTTGGCCTCATAGGTTAAAACATAGGTGGGAGGAGTAAACAGAACAGAATGCTGGGAGGAAGAGGAAGAGAGCTCAGAATCTACAGCTCTCCTCTCGGGGGCAGACACCTCAGAGAGACGCCATAGCTCAGCTCTCGGGGGCACATGCAATGAAGCTCCGACCCAGGATGGACGTAGGCTAGAATCTTCCCGGTAAGCGCACCTAGCGGAGCTACACAGATGATTAGAAATGGGCTAGATTAATATGTGAGAATTAGCCTAGAAGAGGCTAGATAGAAATGGGCCAAGCAGTGTTTAAAAGAATACAGTGTCCGTGTAATTATTTCCGGTATAAAGCTAGCCGTGCGGGCGGCCGGGTGCCAGGAACGCAACCCCGTCGCTCCTACTACTACAGAATGGCGCCCAGACGTGTGGACAACTGAATCCACAGAAAGCCTGAAAAAGCTTGGGAAAGAGTAAAGCATGTTTTCTTGGTAGCTGCAATTTCTCAGTTCTACTCTGCTTGCTAGAGGCAAGCAAGTGCTCTCATCTAAGAGAGGCTTCCTGACTCAGCTTCAGCTGCAAAACCCTGCAGCTCTTAAGAGGTCCTGCCACGAAACACTTGCTTTTCGGTTTTCAGCCGTAGCAGGAAAAAAGCTGTGCCGTTTAAAAATGTCGGCTTTCTGGGCTGTCCTGCCAGGGCAAACTCTGACTCTTTTACGCAGGCAGTTCGTGCGGTTTGCAAGCACAGGCTGCTGAAGCTCGCTTGCTGGCTACAGCCAGTACCTCAGCCA